CCCGGGGCTGCTGAGAGCTCAGCCTGTGGTCCCGGGAGTCCGGGCTCTCCTGGGTCCCCCCACCCGGGGCCTCGGGCCATGAGCCCTGGGGCACTGCACACGGTCAAGCTGAGGCCCCGGGCCCAGGGATGGGACGGGACGGGGGTGACCTGCAGGCCCCTCCTCCGGGCAGAAACTTTCCTGTTTTCCAGTTTCCAACCCGGGGCTGTGGAGCGTGTGCAGGTAAGAGGTGAGGCGCCTGCTGCGCTTCACCCACAGGTACCTGGTGAGGTCACTTCTCGCCGACCCTGTGTCCTGGACCCAGTGGGTCACCCGGGGGGGGGGGCGCCGGCCCGGAGCCTGCGGTGGGGGGAGAGCCGTCTTTCCCGAAGATTCGGGTGCCGTTCGTAGGGGCTGTTTTACATCAATTTAGATTTTTTAACGCAGTGTCCTGGTCTGATGATGGAACTTTTGGTGCCCTGCCAGCGTGTGCTGAGCGTGATCCCTGGGCCTCCCGGGTCATGTGCCTTCCACCGAGCTCGGGCTGGGCCGCGGCTGCAGGGGCGCCCTCTGCTCCCCAGAGGTGGGGTCCCCGAGCTGGGCCGCCTGTGAGGTCATCGCGGGGCATGGGGGCCCCTTTCTTGCACCTTCTCGCTCGGACTTCTGGGTAAGTTCTGGGGAAGGAGCAGGTTTTCCAGGTGGTGCTTCTTTTCGGGGTGTGTGGGTGAGGGGAGGCTCGGCCTGCCCCGAGGTGGCCCTCAGGCCTGTTGTCCGTGAGTCCTGGGGTTGGGGAGGGGACACCTGGGGACAGCTGGGAGCAGGGCGGAGCACAGGCCTCCAGCTTCCGTGCAGGGTGTGTGGCAGGCAGACCCCTGGGTCCTTGTCATGGCCCCGAGGCCCCGAGGTGTGCGTGGTGACGGACTGTCCTCACTGGACTGCTCAACTCCCGGGGCCTGGCTCCTGGGCTCGGAGCTTCCCTCCAAGCCGTCCGGTTTCAGCGAGCGTCCTGCTGGCCCGTGAGGCCGGAGCCTGGGGCCTGGCAGCTGACCGGCCACCCCGATGCCTCCTGCGGGGATCCCAGGGGCCCCAGCTCCTGGTCTCACTCCCACCGTGTCTGAGAGCAGCGCAGGGCGGAGGCCGCGGCAGTGCAGGCTCCTGCGTGTCAGGTGGCTGTGGGGCAGGTGTGGGCCCCGCGCTGAGTGCAGCGTGGACACGGGCGCGGCCCTCAGGGAGGACCTTTCTCCAGCAGTGGGACCCGAGCCAGCCCCTGACCGAACACAGGAGGGAGCCGGGAAGACGGTGGCAGCGCACCCAGCGCAGGACCTCGCCCACGATGGGCCCGACCCCTGCAACGAGACCCAGGCCCCGGCAGTGGAGACCCCGGCCCCTGCGGTGGAGACCCCGTCCCCGGCAGCGGAGACCCAGCACATCTGAGGCCCAGGAGACAGACGGTCACACGCTTGTCCTGGTTCGCCTCCCACTGGGGACCACTCTGCCCTCGGCCAGCACACGTGCTCAGGGTGGCCCCGGGCACCTCCCGCCTCCGGCCCACCATGAGCCTCACCTCGTCCGTCCTTGGTCCCTGGTGCCGAGGAGCAAGGGCAGCCGAGCGGCAGCCGAGCAGGGCCTGGGCGTGCCCCCCCCCCCGTTTTCCGTTTTTCCCTCGTTTCTTGCCCTCGGCCTACGGATGAGTTTCTAGGGTTTACGGAGGGATGAGGACACACCCTGAGCTGTACTCGTTTTAGCCGCGTGGATCGCGGGGAGAGCGGCAGGGCAGTGGGCAGGGCCACCCCGTGTGCCCGCGCGGGGGCGGTGAGGACACACCTCAGGGCCCAGCCCTCAGAGGAGGGCTCCCTGGGAAGGAAGGCAGTAAAGGCCAGAGAAGCTGTACTTTGCTGTTTCACGTTGATCGCGGGCACAGGTTCCAGAAGTGGAGACGTTAACCTGGATGAGACAGAAACCCTTGCAGGTGAATTTCCGAGCCAGCCCTGCAGCGGGGGTGGCCCTCGGCTGCCGTGATGTCCCCGAGTGGCCCCGTGGCGGAGCCTGTGTCACGGTGTGACCCCGGGCCAGCTGCAGAGGGGGCGGGCGGGGGGTCAGGCCCCCAGTAGCCCCGGGCCAGGCTGCGGCCCGGCCCGTGAGGGGGGCTGCGGGGCTGAGGCGTCCTCCTGGTGGGGCGCCGTCGGCTGACTTCTGAACGGGTTGTCGGTGTCGGTGGTGGTTCCCGTGTTCGCGGGCTCCCCGCCGCATTCCCCCAAAACCAGCGTCCCTGTGTGTGGTGTGGCCCAGCGACACGTGCTGCGGCGAGGCCGGCCCCCGGGGGGCAGAACCAGGTCTGGGGCGACCTCAGGTCCCGGGGGGCTCACACCTGGCCTGGAGGCTCAGCCTGAGGTGGCGTCTGCCGTGTGATGTGGGGACGTGTTTGGTATGGGGGTGACCTCCGGTGCCCACTGCGATGTCTGTGTCCTCGGGCCCCACTGTCCCTGGGCACCGCATTCCCTGGGCCTCCCGCACAGGGCCCTGTGGGTTTTCTCCGTCTGTTCTCTGCTCCTGACCACCGACCTCGCAGCCCAGGGCGGGGGCTGCACAACCTGGGGGGGGTCGTGTGGGCACAGCCACCTGCACGTGCCATCTGCGGGGGCTCAGCCCTCATGGCCGGTCTGCTTGCTCTCCACCTGGACTGGGGCTGGAGCTCCATGGAGGGGGGTGCTCAGCGTCCAGCACCCGGGGCTCCATGGAGGGGGGTGCTCAGCGTTCAGCACCCGGGGCTCCATGGAGGGGGGTGCTCAGCCTCCAGCACCCGGGGCTCCACGGGGGGAGGTGCTCAGCGTCCAGCACCCGGGCTCCACAGAGGGGGGTGCTCAGCCTCCAGCACCCGGGGCTCCACGTGGGGAAGGTGCTCAGCGTCCAGCACCCGGGCTCCACAGAGGGGGTGCTCAGCATCCAGCTGCATCCGTCTGGCAGGAGGAGCTGCCCCCCACTTTCTATCCAGCCCCTGCGGCCCTGGGGGCAGGAGCCTGACCAGGCCTCGGGGGCCCACAGGGAACTGGCTCCCTTCTCCGGGCCCAGAGCCGGGGGGTTACGGGAGGCAGGGGCCCCCAGGCCTGTGGGGTGGGAGGTGGGGCCTCAGGGAGCAGCTGCTGGGGGAGGATGGGTGGAGATGAAGCCTTCGGTGTGTGCGTGTGCACGTGAGTGTGCACATGTGAGCGTGCCCCGTGTCCTCATGGGACTCCTGCCCTGTCCTGTCCCCACCTCCGGACACACCCACACCTGCACACGCAGAGCTGCCCTGCATCCCAGCCAGACGCCCCTCCTTCCCGACCTGTGGGCCCAGAACGTTCTTTGATCTTGGATCCAACAGGAAAGTTATAACCCGAAGGTGCCTGTGTGATAATAAATCACGTAATACCAGCTTCTACTGGAGCCCCTGGGTCGTAGACACCCCCGGGGACAAGGTGAGAGGGAGGCCCCGGCGCGAGCGGGGTGGGGGGGTCGGCAGTCCCCGGGAGGCTGCGGCCGAGCTCCGAGCGAGGACACGCGCAGCCTGAGCCCGGCGGTACCCCCCCTTAGAGACCCCGGGGGTCACAGGGAAGGGGGGCAGCCTGGCGACAGCCCCGGCTCTGCGTGCGGCTCCGTGTCCGCCCAGGGCCCTGAGTGCGAGGGCAGGCTGCCACCCCAGCCCCGCGCACAGCCTGGCACCTCGTGGGAGCGCCCGCACAGCTGCCTTTGGAGGTGTGACCTGTGCCACGAGGCCCGCCCCAGAGGCTCTCCTGGGCTCCGGCCCCCTGACAGCTGGCGCTCACGGGGCTCCTGGGGGCTCAGGGCTACCGCGACCATCGTGTAGAGCGTCAGGCAGGCAGGCGGGCCGTGGGGTGATGGGGGGCAGGCTGCTGGCCCTGAACCCTGATCCTGCCCCTTCCCCACGGACCTGGAGGGGATCCCCGTAGCGCAAAGGCCCTGGGGTCCCTCATTCAGAGGGGGCTCCGGAGGCTTCTCGGAGGAGTCAGGGGCCGCGGGGTAGCCTTCATCCAGTCGGCCGTGCCCGCGGGGGCAGAGCCTCCAGGTGAGCATCCTGGGCGCAGGCAGGTGCGCGGCTGCTGCGGACGGCACGGGGAGCGGGGCGGACACCGAGGCGGCGCCCAGCACTGACCGTCCGCGTCCTTGGCTCCAAGCGCCGGAGAGACGCTGTTCAGGTCCGTTGGGCTTCCAGGGCCTTCGGCTGATGGGGTCAGCGTGGCGTCCCTCCCCCGGGCAGCTACTCGGGCCCACCACGCACCTCACACGCTCTCAGAGGGCAGCACACGCGCAGCTCTCAGCACCCACACGTGCACACACACACACACACACACACGCACGTGTAGACAAGGGAAGGAGGGGACACGCCGTGAGACCGGAGACCCTGGTCCCGTCCCTGACCTCCGTCCCGCATCCTCCTGGAACGTGCCCCGTGTCGTGCGCTGAGGCCTGGGTGCCCTGACAAGGGGGCAGGCAGACGGAGCAGGTCACAACACCGCCCCCAGTGGACTCAGGAGGCTGAACCGAGATTGAAACACGAGATTTGGGGATCCCCGGGTGGCGCAGCGGTTTGGCGCCTGCCTTTGGCCCAGGGCGCGATCCCGGAGACCCGGGATCGAATCCCACGTCGGGCTCCCCGAGCATGGAGCCTGCTTCTCCCTCTGCCTGTGTCTCTGCCTCTCTCTCTCTCATTCTGTGTGACTATCATAAATAAATAAAAATTAAAAAAAAAAGAAACATGAGATTTAATGTTTAATGTTGAATTTCTTTGGTTTGAGTGGGGAGGTGCGCTCCGCTCGGCCGGGCCGCTGGGGCAGGGAGGACTGCGCCTGCCTCCCAGGGGCCCGGAGGGTCGGGGTGGAGCAGCCTCCCTGGGCGCCGGCCCCGCTCGGTCCCCGCGCGCGGAAGCAGGAGCCCCCACCGAGGACGACAGACGCACGTGATGCCATTAACCAGCCTCACAAGGGCAAACAGTGCAAAATACTGTATTTTGTCTGACAGTTGTGCATCTACAGCGTGTACACAGCACAGCGTCGGCTCTCTGGGTCCTCTCGGCTACGGAAGCAGGCGGCCCGGCCGGACAGGCGGACACTGCCGGGCGGTCATCTGGTGGCCCGTCCGGGTGGCCTGTGAGGACGCGCGGGGCCGGCGGCGCGCGCGGGACGTCGTCAGGTCTACGGGAATCCCGGGAAGCGAGGCTCCTCGTGCTCAGATGCTGAGCGGTGGCCCTCGGACCCCGACACACCCCTGTCCCCCAGGCGTGCGGTAGGACGGGCCTGCGCCTGGTGGAGCCCCCGCCCAGACAGCGCGGCCACGGAGGCGCCACAGAGACGACGTCCGTGCGGGGCAATGACACGGGCGCTCCGATGCCTGGGGACGCGGGCTGTGCCTGTGCACGGTGTGCTGAGTGCGTGTATGCAAGCACACACGCGTGCAGGTGTGGACACACACGATGCACCTGTGCATCTATGTGCCACGCACACATGTGTGTGGTGTGTGCACGCGTGTCTGCACGTGTGCGTGGGGCTGGGGGGAGGGAGGGGGGATGGCTGCACAGTCCCGCACACGTGTTCCCCGGTAGGTCGGGCCTCCATCCGTGGCCCTGCCCGCGGGATGAGCCTCGCTTCACTCACTGTCCTGACACCCGTCCTGAGTCGGGGCGTCGTGCCCGGGTGTTCCTGGAAATGCCAGCCCCCCTCTTCCCAGCCCTAGTGACCTCGTGGGGTGCGGTACGGTCCCGACAGAGGCTGGCGCGACAGGCGAATCTGAAGGGCTTTTGGGCATTTCCGAAGGCACGCGGCCCCTCAAAGACCCCAGCCAGCGCCCTGGAGCACGGTCTCACGTGCGCCCACATCACGGTCACAAGCCCCAGCGTCCGTGATGCTCCCAGGGCGGCCGCTGCAGGCGGAGGCGGCGACGTGGGCCCCCGACTCTGACACGGGCCGGCAAGGGGCCAGCGGTGACTGCCCAGGTCCAGGACACCTGTGCCGACCAGCAGGCTGCCCGTGCCTTGGAACCAGACCTAATGACACACACGGTAGACGCTGGGGAAACCGGGTGGCACCTCCTGTCGCGGCCGGGCTGGCGGGGCAGGCGCCGGGCGCCGCGGGTGTTTTGCTGCTCGGTTCCTGGGCTGCCCCGGGGCCTGGGTGCCGCGGGCCAGGAGTGACCGGGACGTGGACGGCCCGTCCGGCCTCAGGGTTAGCGGAAGCAGGCGCGGCCCGAAGCACGTTCCCGCTGGGTCCGTCGCAGCGCAGGTCAGGGGCGCCAGCCGCTCCGAGAAGCGGCCCCGCTGGCCTCCCCTGGCGGCCCGGCTCTGCCCCGGCGCGTGCGTGGGGCGGGGGCGGGGCGGCTACACGGTGGTCTCGTTCTTCCACGGCCCCGTCCGGATGTTGCCCATGCCGTTGGCGCTGAAGGACAGGACCTCACACAAGTCGCCCTTGAGCAGCCCGTTCTGGCCGGGGCCGCCGAAGGGCAGGGACTGTGTTCTGCGGAGCATCTCGAAGTGCGGCGGGCCGTGGGCCGACTCCCGGCCCGGCCGCAGGGCGCAGCCGTACAGCACCGAGCCCGCGTCGCTGCCCTCGGGCTGGCTGACCAAGGGGAAGGGGTCGGCCTGGGCGCAGCAGGCCAGCGCGTGCGCCCCCACGGGGCCCTCGAGCGAGCTGGGGGGGCTGTCCGAGCGCGAGCTGCGGGGGCTGCCGTCGGGGCTGGACGGGATGTGGTAGGCGTACTCCTCCGCCGCGGCTGCCCGGTGCCGGCCGAAGTAGGGAGGCTTAGTTCTGGCCTGGAGGCACCTGTGCAGGTGCGGGTCGTGCCCGAAGGCGTCCTCCTCGTGCACGTGGACGTGGGCCGCGTCCTCCATCAGCTGCTCGCAGTGCATCTTGGCGCAGCACGGCGTGGCTGGCGACAGGCAGTTGACGTGGCTCTGGGCGGCCTGCAGGTTGGTCATCTTGCAGTGGCCGGCGGGCGGGGGCCCGAAGCCCCGCGGCTGCCCCGGACACGGCGAGTCCTGCAGGCAGGCCGCGTGCCCCAGGGCGTCCCCGTTGGTGTCGAGCGCGGGGCAGGCCCCGAGCTTGGCGCCGTGGGCGTCCCCACGGGAGGGGCAGCAGGACCACCAGCAGTGCCACACGTCGTCCCGCTTGGCGCAGTGGTGGATGAGCACGAAGAGCCCCAGCGTCACGCAGAAGGCGCCGTACAGGCAGCTGAAGACCATGTCCAGGAAGTGGCCCTGGGACACGGCCAGCGCCCCGAAGGCCCAGGTGGCCGCGAACAGGAACAGCGTGAAGGCGGCGGCCCGCAGCTGGGCCTTCAGCGAGTGCTCGTTCTGCAGCAGGGAGGCGGCCAGGGCGTCGCAGGCGGGCAGCGAGCCGGGCCGGGCGCCGGGGCTGTGGCGGGCCTCGGGCACTGCCAGCCGCTGCTGCTCCTCCGCGCGCGCCCGGAGCTCGTACCTGCGCTCCGGGTGGCGCCGCAGCTGCACGTAGGTGCCCAGGAAGTAGATGCAGGTGACCAGGGCGATGAAGGCCGCCGGCCCGTAGAAGGCCCCCAGGCTGGGCTCCCAGGCCATCCAGCAGCTGCGGGGGGGGGCGGCGTGAAGGGGGGGGCATGGGGGGCAGACACACCTCCCGCTGCCGGCAGGGCCCTCACCCCTCCCTCCCACCTCAGGGGCCGCGGGTGTGCGCCCGGCGCTGGAGCCCGGGGAGCAGAGGTCAACTGAGGGCAAAGGGTGCTGGCCGCTGGGCGCTGGGTGTGCACCCTCAGGGGCTGCAGAGGAGCCACGATGGGCGGGGAGGGGCCGCGGGCGCCAGGGGACTCACTAGGGCACGTCCTCGCTCTCCGTCCCGTAGTTCCTGATGTTCGTGGCAGCCGTGACCCCGCAGATGATGAAGGGCACCCCTCCGCTGACGAGGTAAAACCTGGGGGGCGGAGGGCCGCTGGGTGCCTGTGGAGCCGCCCCAGGCCCTGCCCAGCCCTCCGCGGGCAACTGGGGTGTGTACTGGACCCCACCCTGCACCCCCAGCCCTGCACCCCCACCCCGCCAACCTCACCCTGCAACCTCCACCTCCTCGCCCTGTACCCCCCAGCCCTGCAACCCCGGCCTGCAACCCCGGCCCTGCATCACTGCCACCCCCGTTCTTCCATGGCCACCCACCCCGCAACCCCCCGCCCCCGCACACACCCCCTGCCCCGCAAACCCCACCCTGTAAACACCCAGCCCCCGCACCCCCGGCCCTGCAACCCGGCCCTGCATCACATCTCCCCCGGATCCCTGCAACCTCGGCCCCAACATCCACTGGCCCTGCCCCCCGCCCCCCCATGTAGCCCTCAGCCTGCACCCTGCCTGTTCCGCAACCCGCATTCCCCCGACCCTGCAACCACCCCCTACAAACCCCGCCCGCAACTCCCCCCCTCCTCGCCCCCCAGTCCTGCACACGCCCCCGTCCCACCCCCAACCCCTGCCCTGCATCCCCCTTGCAACCGCTCGCCCTGCCACATAACCGCGCCCCCCACCGCCCCCCCTGCAACCCCCGCTCCCCACCCCCCACGCCCGGCAAACCCCGCCCTGCCATGTAATCCTCCCCTGCAACTCCTGCGGCCGGCCAGGTAACTCGGTTCCCCCCAGCCCAGCGCCCTGCAAACCCCCCCAACACGCCCCTCCAACACCCCCTACCCCGTAACTCCCCAGAGGGGCCTCTGCCCATCCCTGCTCCTCCCCCTCCCCTCCCCCTCCCCCTCCCCTCCCCCTCCCTTCCCCTTCTCCCCCCCTCACACCCGGGGCCCTGCCTGGCAGCCCGGCCTCTCTGCTGCTTGGGGCACATCTGACCTCTGACCCCGCCCCAGGACAGTGACCCGTGTGGACGGGAGTTGGCCCCACTCCGGGCCTGGCCGACCTTGGCAGCAGGGCCTGAGCCAGCAGCTCCCCCTGGGGGGCATTCTAGGGCCCCCCCAGGCCGGGTCCCGGAGGAACCAGAGCTCCGGGCCCCACGTTGAGGGTCGTGGGCGAGGGGCAGCTGGCGGACGATGCCCCACGCTCCCGGCGGGCACCACGGCTCTTTGTCCCCCGCGAGCGGATGACACGGGTCCCAGGCCTGCAGGTGGGAGCCCAGCGACCCGGGGACTCTGTGCCTCCCCGAATTCTATATGCAGACAACGTGTCCTTCAGAACAGGAAAAATACAGACGCTTTCTGACAAAAATAAAACTGAGCGCATGTGTCACCAGCTGGCCTTCGGGAAGCGCTCGCTGCGACCTTCAGGCTGAAGGGCTACTGCACCAGACTGAAACCGGGGGAACGGGAGCACCCGGACGCCAGACATCGGGACGAACGGAACACTTTGCTTTCTCTTCGTTAAAGCACACGTATGTGGTTGTGTAAAGAAGCGCCACGCTGCCGAGCGGGGCTGCCAGGGCGTGTGGGCGCGCGGACGGCGGGGCCGGCCCCACGGGGGCTCCCGCGCACACTTGCACGGACCAGCGTGACTCTCACTCCAAAGATACGGGAAGAGTCGGTGGACTTGGATCCCCAAGGCAACACGGAAAATCAATAGGCCAAGGGCTAAGAGATGAAACGAAATGTAGAAAAATATTAAAATAATTCAAAAGAAGGAAACAGGACAAGAAAGGAGGAGGAGAAGGGAGAAAAGAGGTAAAACCAGAAAACAGGTGGTGAAGCGGAGCCCGAGGGCCCCCTCGTCCTGGACGGGAGGCAGAGGCGGCAGCTCGGGTCCACGGGAGACGCCCGGGGCCCCCGCGCCCAGGCTTCAGGGGAAAGAGAGAGGAAGGCCCCTGCGTGTCTGCGTCAGCACAGCCCACGGGGCACCCGGCGCCCAGGGAGCCCACATGGGAGGGAGCCTCGCCCCTGGGACCTCAGGGGACTGGGCCAGGAGGGAAGACGAGCGAGCACACGGCAGCCGGGCCGTGGGGACCGGGGCCAACGGGGACAGAGGTCGTCAGGTCAGAGGACAGGAAAGCCACCCGGGACGTGGATGAACCCCACGCGGGTCCTTCAGAGCCGCCCGCAGAAGTGGTCAGCGCCGGCCGCACCGACCCGGAGCGAGAGCGAGAGGGAGGGAGGGAGGAAGGGGTCGGATCGTCCGAGGTCCCAGCCTGAGCCACCAGGCGGGAACAGGCGGGAAGACACGCGTCCTCACTGGACAGGTGTCCCGTGGCCGATGACGGGACCGCGGACACAAGATCCCAGGGACCCACGGGCAGCTCCCCGGGCTTGTGGGCAAGTGCAGAGGATCTTCCGGACACAAGGCCCGCACGTGCGACTCGGTTGTGTTTCGACCCGTGAGCGACGCTCGACCCAAAGAGACGATGAGGGAGACGATCCCGGTAAAGTCGCGTGAAAACGGTCCATGGGCAGGGGGCCCGGCCCAGGCGGCGCAGGACGCGCCCTGGGGCCTGGGAGCGTCGGATGCTGTGGGCGTGGGCGCATCCGTGACCCCTACGGGCTCTGTGGGGCCCAGGCCGGCGCCACCGAAATTCCAGGGGCTGTTTTCCCAGAAATGGAAGAGCGGATCCTACTATCCACGCGGAAGGGAAGGGACGCGGGATAGACAGATCAGCCTGCGCCCCCTGTGCCCCTTGCCAGCCCCGGCAGGGCCGTCCGCCCGGCAAGGACACCCCAAGGGGGGCAGGGCCCCCGGTTGCTCCACATTCCAGGTCACGCGGCTGCAGTGGCCATGAACCACCTAAACGGGTTTGGTTCCCCCAAAGCTGCGCAGAGGGTGCAGACCCCAGCACGGCCACAGGGACAGCGGGGCCCTCGGCAGACCCCTGGGGCACAGCCCTGGGGCCACCTGGCAGCGGGGCCAAGGTCAGCGGTTAGACGACTGGGCCCTCGTCTCTCCAAAAGCCGCGTGCTCAGGGGCACACACCGGGTCCTGACCCACGACCACTTTCCTTTTATTTGTCGTCAGAAGTGAGACGGAGCCCCTGCCCGCCGCCGACCGTGTCCCCCACTCTGCCCCCCGAGGCTCTGCGGGGCCTCTGGCCGCTCTCTCGGCCTTGGCCGGGGCCCAGCAGCCCGAGCAGGGGCTCCCCCCTCCCCGGAAGGCTCGGGAGGGACATTCCTGCTGATGGGCCCTGCTGGGAAGGGGGCCGGGGGTGCCGGGGGCCGTCGGGGGGTCATCGCTGGTAAGGACGCCTCCGGCTGGACGGGGCCTGCAGCGGGAGGGCACACGAGGGGCGGGGCTCAGGGAGGGAGGCTGGCCCCAGCGTTGGGGCCCCACCAGCAGCCCCGGGCAGGGCCTGGGCGGAGAAGGCGGTGAAGGGGGCAGGCCTGCAGCCCAGCCCAGAGCCCGTGTCCCCCCTGCCCCCCAGGGTCAGGCTGTTTGTACTAAGAAGGGGACACGGGGGACCGGGGACAGGTGACAGTGGTTTCCAGACGGCACAGTGAGGGTCTAACGTGGCCGATGTATTACACGGTCCCCGAGCCCACCCCTGCTGGTCCAGGGCCCCCTGAGCCCCTGGCCCTCGGAGCTCACGTCCACTGAGCCCCCGACCCACAGGGCACTTGTCCCCCGAGCCCTGGGGCCTCTGCTGCCAGAAGCACCTGGGAGTCTGGTTCATTTTGTGCATGTGATGCCGTCGGACAGAAAGGTGCCAGAATGTTCTGAGGCTGCCATCTTGTTCTTCCATCAAGTAGAGACCAAGACAATCATTTTGAGACGGATTCTTACACCCAGGAATGGGGGCGCCCCAGCAGGGAACCCCTGCCTCCCTGGGCTGAGCGGGCAGCAGAGGCTCCGGGGCCCTGGGAACGTGAGGCGCCGGGCCCGCGGGCTGCAGCGTCCGGAAGCCCCGGGGGTCGGCGCGTCCTCCGCCGGCAGGTGCACGGAGGTGTTTTCCCAGATGCCCCTTGGAGTTTGGACCTGGACCGAGCTCCGTCCAGGGGGCGGGGTGTCCGTGACCCAGGGCCAGGCCACAACCCGATAGCGGCGTCAGCTGCCCCTCACGGCGACCACCTGCCCTCCCGGCACCCTCCCAGCTTGACCAATAACTGTCCCCCAGCCTCAGGAGGCCCAGGCCCCGTGGTCACCCTGGGGTTGGCGCCTGGGCCGCCTCAGTTTCTCCCAGCTGAGGAGCCGGTGCCTGAACTCGCTGAGGTCCACGCGTGAGCCGCGGGCAGGCCCGGAACAGTGACGCGTCCCCCGAGCTGTCTCCACAGCCCCTGGTGGGCACACTGGCCCCCGGCCCCGCTGACTCGGCTGCGGCCCAGCACCCCCACGTCCCGTCCCCGGCCCCCGGCCCCAGCACCCACCCCCACCCTGGCCACCTGTGCACACTGGGCTGCCCTTGACCCGTTTCCCTGGAGCCCGTTTGCTGAGGCCCCAGAGGGGAGCCCAGAGCTGGCGGCTGCGGGCGCCCGGGGGGTGCGGGAGGCCGGGCACGCGCGCTTGGCTACCTGAGCAGGGGCTGCTTGGGGTACGGCGGGTGGTCTGCGCCCAGGCACGGCGGGGCCTTCTTGGTCACCTGCTTGTAGATGTTCCTGGCGGTCACCCCGATCCACAGCATGGTGGCCAGCGTGGAGTAGTGCAGGAGGATGCCCACCTGCAGGGGAGAGGCTGGTCAGCTGCGGCCTTGGAGCCCGTGCGGTCCCCTGGGTCTGACCCTCCTGCTCCCCCTGGGACAGTCACCGGCGACCGGGAGGAGGGCATGTGGGATCCTGCTTCACAGGGAGGCGCGCGGGCTCCCGGCCTGGCTCTGCTGTCCCGTGGGGAGCCGGGGCTGGGGGCACACGGGCCTGTACGCACGATCCCCCGTGGGGTCCGCGTGAGGTTGGCCACGTGTGTGCCCCTCGGCAGCGTGCACTCGGCGCCCGCCCTTCGGGCCTGCGTGCCCTGCGTGTGCGGTCGGCGTGGCCTGGACGTGGGCCCGGAGGGCTCCAGGGAGGGCGTCCTGTGGGCTCGGGGCCACACAGGGGCCACGTGGTGGAGCGGGGGTCCCGCAGCGGGCTCTCCAGGGGCCGGCGCGGGGTGTGGCAGGCGCTGAAGCCCACCCCCCATGCCACGCCGTCCGCAGCTGCCCCGCGCGTGCCGTGGCCTCCCTCGCCTCGTTAGCTATCGCGCACTCCCTCCCTCGTCTCCACCTGCCTCCGGAAAACAAGGTCACCTGTGAAGCCACAGCCGGACATCTCACGACGACGAGTCGATCATGGCTGTGACTGCACAGGGCCCGCGGGTCTAGGGAAGCCGGGATTCTCTGAATGAGCTGAAGTCGTGCTCTAGTGATTTACCAAATCCAGGGTCCACGTTCACTTCTTAGAAAGCTCTAGAATCGGGGATCCCTGGGTGGCACAGCGGTTTGGCGCCTGCCTTTGGCCCAGGGCACGATCTGGAGACCCGGGATCGAATCCCACGTCGGGCTCCCGGTGCATGGAGCCTGCTTCTCCCTCTGCCTGTGTCTCTGCCTCTCTCTCTCTCTCTCTCTGTGACTATCATAAATAAATAAAAATTAAAAAAAAAAAGAAAGCTCTAGAATCGGGGATCCCTGGGTGGCTCAGCGGTTTAGCGCCTGCCTTTGGCCAAGGGTCCTGGAGTCCCGGGATCGAGTCCCACATGGGGCTCCCTGCAGGGAGCCTGCTTCTCCCTCTGCCTGTGTCTCTGCCTCTCTCTGTGTCTCTTATGAATAAATAATTAAAATATTAAAAAAAAAAAGAAAGCTCTAGAATCGTCGATGAGACCGGGGTGGGTGCGGTGTGTGGTTCCGGGTGCGCTCCCTGTGCCAAGTCCCGCCTGCCCTCAGCCGGTGGCCTCGTGGGGCGCCCGGGCCTCCCGCAGGCTGCACCCGCCCTGGGACCGGGGGGCCAGCGCCCTCCGCACCTGAGCCGGAGGGAGAAAGGGCCACGTCCGCCCAGCCCTTAGTTGAGGGACGCAGGGTGTCTCTGTCCGGGGGCAGCTGTGCGGTGTCATCCCGGGTGACCACGGACTTCACGGTCCTCAGGGATCAGGGCTGGCCCTGCTGCTGTCCGGCCACCCCGAGCCTCGTCCTCGGGCTCACTCGCTCGTTGGGGTTTGCAGGAGGGCGCCAAGGCACGACGCCGCCTCCGGACACGGGGAGAGGTCACAGGGACCCGCCCTGCCTTCCGCCCCGGGCTGCTGCCGACGCAGACGTACATCATCATGTGGGACCACCGGCCACCGGCGTTTGTGCTCGGGATGTCACTTAGGACTTTAATGACACGCCCAGTTCCCTGGTGGCCGCAGCAACCGCGTGTTCCCGGCCGAGCAGAGCTTCGGGCCACGTGCCACGCACCGTCTCACGGTCGGGGTCTGAGCCGCACCCGGACACGGAGGTGGTCCAGGGCAGCCCGCGTCCAGGCGCCAGGGTGGTGGCAAGCTGTCCCTTGTGCGGCGGGGGCCTGGCTGTGGCCGGGGGAGGACACGTGAGCTCGTGGAGACGTGCAGGCTGCGACGTGTGGAATCCACGTGGGCAGGCTGGTGGCCGGGGAGAGCTGAGTCCAGGGACGGAGACTGATGTCCCCGGCTGCACAGGCCGGGACGGGATCCTTCCCTCCTCTGCCATTGTCCCTCGGCCCTCAGGGGAGTGGACGAGCCCCAAATGGGGAGGGCACCCGCTCGACCCAGCCCAGGCTCCAGCGCTGGCCTCGCCCGCACCTGCACGGCCCAAAGGCGGACCCACGGCCGGGAAAGCCGCCTTCCAGCCGCCTGCGGCCGGGCGGGCCGGGCGTAGCCTCCGGAGCAGCGACCGACTGTTGGCATCTGCGGGGCACGCGGCCACATTCCAGAAATGGCAGAGGAGTCCCGGGCAGAAGGTCCCCCCGAAGGCTCTGCGGGCTCCTCCCACTGGCTCGCCGGGCCCCAGCTCTGTCCTCCCGCCCGCACACGGGGCCCATGGGGCCCACGGGGCCCTCTGTCCCTCGTCCCCGTTGCAGAGCTGGGCAGCCCCGCAGAGCTCCAGGGGCTTTGCTCCCCAGGGCGGGTCTGGTCCCGATGCACGTTTGCAAACGAGCAAGCGAGGGAGCCCGGGCCCTGCAGCCTCGTGGACAGGGGGTCTGGAGGCCACGGCGGCCTCCCGCGGGAGGACTGTCTCCACCGTGAAGTGACCGTTTCTCACGCCAACCTCACTGTCCTGACCTGGCCTCTCGGGACCCGGCCGGGCCTGGGCCGACCCCAGGCTGTCTACCCGTAGGCGCCGGGCCCCACGTGGAGGAGGACCCCGGGCCTCCGGGGCTCGCCACCCAGGCTGGAGTGCGGGCAAGGCTCCCGGGTGTTCGGGGGGAGTGGGCCCCGGGGGCCGAGAGCTGCGGGGCCCAGAGCGGCGCTTCCTCACCGCCAGGGGCCCGGCTCGGGGCGCGCTCGTGTGGCCGAGTGTGACCTGAACACGCGGTCGAGCTCACGGCTTGCCCCTCAGCAGGCGCTCACGGGCCGGCCGTTCCCATGCCCGTGCCCAGGCGCCCCAGATGTGCGGCCGCCCCTCGGCGTGCTTCCACATGCGCGCTGGCGGCTCCTCGCTGCGGCCCAAGCGTGGGGCCTCCCCAGGAGGTGGCCGGCCGGGGGTGTCGGGCAGGCGTGCGGGGCCGCAGGCACCAGGGCTCGGAGCCGGCCCTCACTCCCGTTCTTTCCCAGGCACCTCTGCGGAGCAGCGTCCCCTGGGGCATCACCTGCCACCTGCATCAGGGCCAGGTCGTCTTGTGGCACGGACCCCACCAAGGGTGGTGCCAGAGCCCCTGGCTGTCAGGTGAGTAGGTCCCAGCAGCCCCCCACAGCCCTCAGCCAGGGTTGACCTCCCAGAACGACGGCTGGAGGGGACCAGCTCGCTATCCCTGCTGCGGTCCAGGCAGACGTGCCCACTGACAGACCAAAGACGCGGGTCCTCACTAAGATGCTCTTCGGTCCCCGGGGCAGCTCCCCTCCAGCTCCCGCCTGGGCCACTGTGTAGAGGCCTGTGTGTAGAGGCCACTGTCCACCTAGAGGTCACCGTCCACATAGAGGCCACTGTCCACCTAGAGGCCGCTGTCCATGTAGAGGTCACTGTCCACGTGAGGTCACTGTCCACCTAGAGGCCACTGTCCACCTAGAGGCCACTTTCCACCTAGAGGCCGCTGTCCATATAGAGGTCACTGTCCATGTGGAGGTCACTGTCCATGTAGAGGTCACTGTCCACCCTGGAGGCCACTGTCCACCTAGAGGTCACTGTCCACGTAGAGGCACTGTCCACTAGAGGCCACTGTCCACCTAGAGGCCACTGTCCACCTAGAGGCCGCTGTCCATGTAGAGGTCACTGTCCACGTGAGGTCACTGTCCACCTAGAGGCCACTGTCCACCTAGAGGCCACTTTCCACCTAGAGGCCGCTGTCCATATAGAGGTCACTGTCCATGTGGAGGTCACTGTCCATATAGAGGTCACTGTCCACCCTGGAGGTCACTGTCCACATGGAGGTCACTGTCCACCCTGGAGGTCACTGTCTATCCTGGAGTCCACTGTCCACCTAGGGGTCACTGTCCACCTACAGGCTGCTGTCCATGCAGAGGTCACTGTCCACATGGAGGTCACTCTCCACACTGGAGGCCACTGTCCACCCTGGAGGTCACTGTCCACCTAGAGGTCACTGTGCATTTAGAGGTCACTGTCCACATGGAGGTCACTGTCTGTGTAGAGGCCACTGTCCACCTAGAGGTCACTGTCCACCCTGGAGCCCGCTGTCCACCTAGAGGTCGCTGCTCCCCTGGGCTGAGCTGGGCCCGAGCAGGAGGCGGGGTGGGAACTGGAGGGGGGAGCGCACAGAGCACCCCAGGTTTGGGGTCACTCGTCCTGCGCCCGGGGCCGCAGTGAGCAGCACAGGGAAGCAGCTGCCCGCTGGGGAAGGGCCTCTCCTGCGCCCTGTCAGAACCAACGGGTCTTCTCCCCTTGGAGAGAAAAGCCAGGTGAGGCCACAGGGGGGACGAAGACCCCTTGGTGACTTGTTCTCAAGGCCGGATCCGCTGAAGAGGGGAGCAGAACCTTCCTGAGTTCCGCGCGGGGGGTGGGCGGCTCGGCCCTGACCAGAGCCTTACGTGGCCGCGGTTGCGGGAGCAGGTGAGCCCTTCTCGTGCCCCTGCCACCCCCACCTCCGGGGGGGACAGCTCCGGCCCTGTTCCTGGGACCGACACGTTGGCCGGACGGCGGACGTCCAGTGAGAGTGTCACCATAGGCCCCCGCAAGCCGACGTGAGCCAAAGGTGAGCGAGGCCGGAGGCCTCGTGTGGAGAGACTGTGGTTCAGGCGCGGGGGCGCCAAGCCCTCCCCGGGGACGTGTCTGGACAACGCCGCAGGGTCCTTACATGAGCAAGACTGTTGGCACAGATGCCCCCTTGGTAGCAGGGTGGACAAACGCTTCAAATCTGTAGCGAAATGAGGACGCGGACAGCACTCACCGCCTGGCAGAGGATCGGGTACTTGGTGCGGTTCACGCCGCCGGCAAACACCGTGAAGGTCAGCGCCGCGTGGAAGCAGAAGTTCAGGAGCGTGTGCCGTCCCTTCCGGCTGATCCGGATGGCGCTGCGGGAAATGGAGGTTTCCCATCAGGACCCGGCGTGCAAGTCAGCCCTCCTCCCCAGATGCCGTGCTCCGTCCACACGGGGCGGAGCTGAAGGCCTCTCAGGGGTGACCGGGGGTCGGGGGAGCACACCCCAAGGGCCAGGCGGAGGGAGGACACAGTGAGTGGCCGGTGGGTCGTTCTGTGTTACGTCTGTCTGGAGCGCTCTGACGGGAAGGGGTTTGAGAAGTCTCCAAGCTCATTGGCCAGATGCTGACATTGAGCCCCGAGACTGACTTGTCTGGTCACAGAGACAGACGGTGGGAGGGACCCCCCGGCCTCACCTCCTGGCTCCCCAGACGGACGTTTTCCCTCTTTGTGGAGAGGCCTGTCCTGACTGAATGTTAGCAAGACCCCGACAGCCACACTTGCCCCTGGCCATCGCCGTGACCAGGCCTCACCCGGGCTGTGGCCACCACAGAGATTGCTCAGCCGATGCCTAGAACTCTGACGATGGCCACAGTGTCTCCATGGCCTGGGACATGTCCCAGCCTGTCATGTCCATGACCCTGACCTTGGACATGCCCAAGACTCTGACCATGACCATGACCTTGGACACGCCCAAGCCTGTTCCCATGACCATGACCTTGGACACGCCCAAGCCTGTTCCCATGACCCTGACCTTGGACATGCCCAAGACTCTGACCATGACCATGACCTTGGACACGCCCAAGCCTGTTCCCATAACCATGACCTTGGACACGCCCAAGCCTGTTCCCATGACCATGACCTTGGACACGCCCAAGCCTCTCCCCATAACCATGACCTTGGACACGCCCAAGCCTCTCCCCATGACCATGACCTTGGACACACCCAAGCCTCTTCTCATCACTGTGGTTATGGCCACAGTCTGGGCTTTGCTCCTGACTATGAGCTTGGCCCTGCCCCTGTCAGAGACTCCTCACATTTCCCAGGTCATCCTCCCTGCAGGCAGAGGTGGCAGGAAACCAGCTCAGAAGGAAAGCAACTAGCCCCCCTCCCCCGGGCTAAAGGGCGCAATGCAAAGGTGGTGAGAGTTCTGGCAGCTACTGTAACTTCCCAAGTGTGTGGGCTCTTGAGCTACCCTGCGCCGTCGGAGGAAGACGTAGGTCACCAGATTTGGTAAGAACACGGAGGCCACTGTGAGAAGACCCTGGTGGAGGCCTAGACTGCAGGGCATGGCTGTCCTGGAGCGCTTGGCCACCCTCGGCTGCAGCGGGCCACCCCTGGTGCTAGGCAGGCGAATCTGAAGCACCTTCCGGGACCTCCTGTTATGTGAGGGTGGGTTTGCATGTGCAGGTAAACGCACGCGATGCCGAGGCAAGCGGGGCCTTACTTCTGGTGCACGATGTAGGTGATGACAGAGGCGAGGAGGCACAGCAGCATGACAGCGGTGCAGGCGTACACCACGGGGTGCAGGAACTCCCCTGGGTACTGGGGCAGGGAGAGGACAGTCTTCAAATCCTGGAAAGAACACAGACAGGCCGTGTGGGCCAAGTGGCCAAGGAACGAGGCGCCCGGCAGAGCCGCCTGGCTGCCCCCAGGTCTGGCCTCGCCCCTGCAGGCCCTCAGAGGTGTCTGCTGAGTTGGGTCGAGATCTGTGACGGGCGCCCCGCTCCCTCGGGGCCCACCTGGGTGAGGGCGCGGGCAGCAGAGAGGCAGCAGCACACGGCAGGTGCCCCGGATCCCACCTGCCCCGGCACCGGGAGATTGTGCTCCCCGGGATCACGCCAGCCCCGGGAGCCGACTCGGGCCTGTGGGGAAAGGGCGGCGGCCGTGACGGGGCCGTGTGGCTGGGCCCTCTGGAGCGCGCCGACCCAGGGTCGGGGGGCACGTCTCCCCATGGGGACGGGAGGCTGAGGGGCGAGGGCCCCGCTGGCGTGTGAACCGAGGGCATTTTGTCTCTTTGTCCGCGAGGGGGCAAGGTGAGCTCTCGCGGGGTCAGCACAGGTGGCCCTGGGGTTCCGGGCCCCGGGCGCGGGTTCCCGAGACGCTGCCGATAGAAGAGGCGCCAACCAAACTCAGGGGGGTGTGGGGGGCCGTGCGCACCCCGCCGGGCACCCCGCTCCCAACCTGGTGATTCTGTGCACTGAGCAGGCCCCAAGGGTGCAGAGCCTCCTCTGCCGCGGGCTCCGGAGGTGCAGAGACAGGAGGCAGGGAAGCTGGGAGTCGGGAGCCTGGCCTCGTGCACCTCTGACCTCTGACCTCTGACCCGCACGGAGCAGTGTTCCAGCCCGTCGTGTGCTGTAACTGCCGCGGGACAGGGAAGCTGGGCTGTGGACAGAAACGGAGCCCTACGGCTCAGGGGCTGGAGTCCTCGCGCCCCACGTGGCTGTAGTCACCCCACGGGCCTTCAGGGGGGCGACTAAGGCCACGGGGGGTCATAGGGCGAGGCCTGGTTCCATAGGACCCACGTCCTTAGCAGAGGGAGACGCGCCCAGGACCTGCCGGAGGGAAGGCCGTCGGAGGACACGGCGAGAAGGCGGCTGTGTACACGAGCGGCGGGTGGCCTTGGGGGAGACCTGCGACTCCTGGACCTTGGACTTCCAGGCTCTAGGACTGAGGGGCGGGTCGCGTCTTAATGGGCTCGGGGTGCTGGGGGTTGGGCCCAGTTATGGCCGTGCCCTCCCCGCCCGAGCCGGTCACGCCCCCGCGGCAGATGCGCACGCTCGACGGGGGTCTGCTCCTGCTCCCACTTTGCAGGTCGGAGGGTCAGAGTGTGAGACCCTTTCTTGGCCTCTGGGCTCCTGCTCTGAGCCGCCTGCTCTGCTCCCACGGCCCCGGACGTGCCCCGCTGGGGGAGGCAGGTGGGCGCTGGTGCCCCTAGAGGGCTGCCCGGGGCCCCGTGAGAGCGTGCTGAGCCGTCCAGCTGTGACAACAGGCTGGTGGCCGGCGGGGGAGGGGGTGGTCTGCAGCCTCGCCAGCCGTGCCCGAGGCGGGTGCACCCACCCCAGGCTGACGCGGGCCCTGGGTGCGCGATGGGCCCCTCCCGGGGCAGTGAGGGCGGCAGGAAGCGGCTGGTGCTCCTCCAGGAGGGCGCCCGGCCTGAGTCACGCGGGAAAACGAGAGAAACTGGCCCTCGCAGGGCTTGGGCTCGCCACGGCCGGGACGGCGCCAGAGCTTTCCTGGTGGACCACATCCTGCCAGGGCAGCGAAGACGAGGCCCCGGGCTGTCGGGGATTTCCAGGGACTGCGAGGGCCACCCTGGTGTCCAGCCGTGGCCTCTGCACCCCGATCTGGCTCTGCCTGGAGACGTTTCCAAGGAGAGCTCCCAGCGGTCTTGGCAACAGCAGATGGAGTCCCGTCACCAGGGAGAAGGTGCCGAGCGACCTGGACACCAAGGGACTCCTTCCAGCTGGCCGCGCGGGACCGACTGACTCTCGAAGCCAGAAGTGGGATCCCTGACCCAGCACATGGCCAGCTGCAGCCGAGGCAGGAGCGCCTGTCACTGGGTAGACCAGGGACGGCACGATGGCGGTGCAGCAGGAAGCCTGAGGGCAGGTGCGGAAGCGCATAGGACGGAGGATGCCAAACCCCAAGTGCCAGGGCGTCATGAGCTCAGGAGGGAAGACAGCCAAGGGACGCCAGCCTCGTGGTGGCAGGGCCACGTGGAGGGCCCGCCGGCCTGGGCCGCCTGGCCACTGCGCAGGCTCCTCCCCGGGGCACACACCTGCCGGGCCTCTGCCCCGCGGTGTGAACGTGCGTCCCTGGGGCACCGCTGTGCCGGTGAAGACGCGGGTGGGGCCGGGAGGTCGCGGCCGGCTTGTGGGCTTCCCGGGCTCGCCGCTCCCCTCGGCTCCTCGCCTGCTGGAAGTGCTCTCGGGTCCCGACTCCATCCCAACTTCCGGAGCGCGAGGGACCCTCCCTGTGGCCCTGGGGGGATGAGGGTTCTGACGTTTGTCACCTTCAGCCTCCTGCCAATTGTAAATCGCTGCAAAAGTCGAGGAGGGCACACTTTCCTGGTCTGATCCTGATGCGGAATCATCTGCTCGTGGCCGTTCCTTCTGGAATTCCCCGCTGCCCACCGGGAGAGAGCCCGGCAGGCCGTCGACAGGCCTCAGCACGCCCCAGATACGCCCAGGCCCTCACCCGCGTCGTAGTCCCTGTCACAGAGCAGTGGCTTCTAACTCGGGGTCTAAACACCCTGACCCTCCTGACCTGAGGCGCCCTGGCTGCTGGGACGGGCTTCCTGAGAGCGGAGCTGGCATCTCAGATCGGGGCCAGGGGTGGGCACGGCTCTCTGGGGGCTCACGGCCCCTCTGGGGCTTTGCCGGGCGCTGCCACTGCTCGCCCAAGGCCTGCACCCTCCTGCCGCGTTGGCAGCCCCGAGTCCTGGCGGGGGCGGGGGGCTGAGGGAGCAAGCACGCGTCCCAGAGCAGCGATGCCCAGTCCTGCGCCCTGCGCCGCATGCCCCCTGCGGCGCCCAGGCCTGCATCGGAGACGTCACGCTCAGCATGTCCCACCCACCAAGGAAACCAGGCCCCGGTCGTGCCGCCGGATGATGCTTCAGGGCGATGCTCCAGACGCAGCGCTTCCCGGGAACGGCCCCTGGCCCCACGCAGGCCCCACGCACCCGCCTCGGGGGCTCCTGAGCCCAGGGCCGGGTTTTGAGTGAGGTGGTGCCGGGGGGCGGGGGGGGGGGCTTCCTGGCCCCGAGCTCTGCGGCAGCAACATCTGCTTTATGAGAAATGGAGCTTCAACCATTCAACCATCGGGGCTCCTGGGTTTCTCCTCCGAGTTCCCGACCGACTGTGCCTTTTCTACATTTCTGAGGTGACATTTAAAGCTCCAAGTAGGTAATGCTAAAGGGAGGTATTTTATATGTTAAAGTTCACGCGTGTCCCAGCTCCTCCTGGAGGACCTGCTTCACTAGCGTCCCACAGACAGTGTCCTCGTGGGGGCGGACGGGCCCACATGGAGCTCGCACGGAGACGCCGGGC